GCTGGTCACGGCTTTAGTATGGCCGATGTCATGGTACAGCATCTTGTCCGTTGGGTCAGCAGTCCTGGGTCCTTCCTCTACGATCGCTCTCTGCACTATTATGTCCAAATGATGTCGAAGAAGACACTGCAGCAACTCATGACCGACTTCAAGCGAGTGGGTTCACACATTGTCTTTGCCAGTCCAAATCGCCTTCTCCTTCAGACAACCAAAGCCGAAATCGGCAATGCATACGCCTACAGTCAGTACATCATCAAGACTATCAAGGCGAAGCCACTGTTCCAGTTTATGGAGCTTGAGATCAAAGAGTTTTGGGATTATCTCGTTTGGTATGACGAGTTCAATTACGGAGGCAAGGGATGCGACAAGGTGACCGAAGACGAGGTCCAACCTGTGGAAAACATCATGTGCTGGCAGCTTGCGCAATTCTTGCCGCAAAAGTTCCAGCCTACCTTCAACGACTGGGTGATTGAGTTCATTGAGCTCATGCACTCACGTAAACGCCCAGTCATCACTGAAGATGGCTCGACACCACGACCAACTCAGATTCCTCTTCGACCTCTGACTGTGGACCCCAATGAGCAGACACAGATACTACCCAAGACATTCACGAAACCACTGTCTAAACAGATGAATGCCTTTGCGAAGAAGCAGCACGCGGAGGTGCTGGATCCTCTATTTGCATCCGAATACGTCTTCCCAGAACTTCCAGGTTCGCACCTCAAGCTCACAAACCCGGTCCTCCAACTCGTCAAGAGTATCATGCAGGTCCTTAGTCTGGACCGTTCGATATCGCTCGAAGCACGCGCGTTGCGAAAAGAACTGCTGAATCTATTCGACATACGAGAATTCAGTGCAGAGGCAACGTTCACCAACCCAAGCGCTGCACTCGTCGTTCGAGGCGTCATCTGCGATGACTGCACATCCTCACGCGATCTGGATCTCTGCCGCGAGCCCTCATTTCTCCCCGTCATGCTCCCCGACAGCGACGCCGCCCCCGTCATGCCCAAATGGAAATGCGACAACTGCGATTCTCCATACGACAAGCGCTGCATCGAGGAGCAACTTGTCGGCGAGGTACAAAAAATGGTTCTCGAATGGTGCACGCAGGACCTCAAGTGTGGAAAGTGCAAGAGGCTACGCAGCAACGAGTTTATGGAACATTGTGCCTGCGCGGGAGAATGGGTGCCTACCAAGAACAAGGCCGAGATTAAGAAGAAAATGGGTGTTTATGGCAATGTTGCTCGGTTCTACACTTTGGGCATGTTGGAGGCGGTTGTAGAGGAGTGCTTATCGAGCTTCTAGGCGCTGTCAGCTTGGCTACGTCGGGATGCATCAAGGGCGAACTGGTTCTCCCATGTCCTTGTAAGTTTTTTTTAAGCTTTTGCATGTGTATAGGGTGGTATCGGACGGCATTTATTGTGGGTTTTGCGAGCGCTGGCATTTTATGCTCGGATGTTTTTTCCCGTTATCTCCCGATCATGTTTTGGTGTTATCGGTGTTCATTGGGGTAAGGGCAACGGTTTTTGAGGGCGAATAGAGCGACTGAGTGGGGGAGGGGAGGGGAGTGGGGTTGTTTAACTCCGCAGTTCCTACGCTTGCATGTACTTGTTTATCTTGACGTCTATCTATCTATCAACTCCTCTGTATACAACGAATGGTTGTCCATTGAATTCCCTCCCACAATCGCGGTGCTACGACCCCCAAAACAATCTAGTAGGAAGATACACAACAGCCATGTTCATACACCGCCGTTATGATGTGCTGTTTTTTTGTGTGTTGCAGAGTGAGGTCATAGCAAGCAACGACAAGGGTTGTTGGAAGCGGGGGTGGGCTTTTGCGTATCTTGCGTCAACTGTGCCCTTGGATGCGTGCGAGCACGCCATTTTGCCTAATTTGTTGCCAACGGGATATGCAGTGCACCACACGCAAACGGTCGCGAACAGGAGTGCCCCGATTGAGGAATCCGAAAAAGCCGGAGTAAGCAAGTGAGGGGAGGGGGGTAGGGTCTTATGTCAATAGAAATGCTTTGGAGGGGTCGGGGGTGGGTGGTATGATGATTATGTGCAGGGTATAAATAGGGTACATAAAACGTCCAACTCTTCGCCTGTTTTTTTTGTGTGTATTTCGATAATTGGTATTTTGTGTACAGAGAGAGAGAAAGAAGAGAGCAGCGCTGTTTTCTTCCCGTTTTAAGAACCAAGAAGAAGAGTGTCGATTGGAATCGGATTCAATCTCCAGCTTTATCAATCCCAAACCGATAATCTTCAACTCGATCAAACCAAAAAACCAAACCAAGGGCCACAGCTACAATGGCACCAGCTCTAACCTCGCAAGAGCCCGACGCACCTCACACCCTCTCCTCCACCCCCAAGCAACTCTCCAAAACCCTCTTCCCAGACGGCCTCCTCACCTCAGGCCAACATGAACCCATCTACTCCCTGCTAAAACCCTACTCGTCCTTCCCGAAAACCATCACAGGCCCCACAGCCTGGAAAGCCTCCGACTACTCTTCGAACCCCGAACGCTGGACGCACATCTTCTCCGCCTCCGAAGTGTCGGAAATCAGTGCGGCGGCAGATGCGTTTCTGGCAAGCGGCACACCGCTAACAGGCATTACGTCTGAGAAGTTCCCTCTACCGGAGTTCTCGAGGTTCCTGGCGCCGCTGAGGAAGGAACTTATTGATGGTAAAGGGTTCATTCTGTTTAAAGGACTGCCGGTGCAGAAGTGGGGGAATAAGAAGTCGGCGGTTGCGTATATGGGACTGGGCACGTACTTGGGGTACTTTGTGAGTCAGAATAGTCGGGGCCATGTGTTGGGGCATGTCAAGGATTTGGGTGAGGATGCGACGGCGATTGATAAGGTGAGGATTTATCGGACGAATGCGAGGCAGTTTTTCCACGCCGATGATGCGGATTTGGTGGGGTTGTTGTGTGTGGCCAAGGCATTGGAGGGGGGTGAGAGTGATCTGGTAAGTTTCTTTTTTCTTTCGTTTCCTCCTTTCGTAATTTGAGGATTTCAAAGGCTAACAGTGTTTTGAATAGGTTAGTAGCCACACCGTCTGGAACCATCTCCAGGAGAACCATCCCGATGTTGCGGAACTGCTCACACAGCCAATCTGGTATTTTGACCGCAAGGGCGAGACGAGTAAAGGGCAGAAGGAGTGGATCCAAACGGCAGTCTTTTACCTCGAGACAGGCGATAACCCAAGAGTATACAGCAAGTAAGTCCTGCTCATCTCCTCCCGCCAAACCGAATAGAAGCTGACATAGAAAATAGATGGGACCCGTACTTTGTCCGCTCCCTAAACCGCTTCTCAGAAAAGGGTCTTGTTCCTCCTCTTTCTCCAGCTCAGGAACGAGCCATTACCATCCTGGAAGAAACATGCCAGAAGTTTGCTCTGCACATGATTCTTGATGTGGGTGACATCCAGTTCCTATCCAACAACCACATTTTCCATGCCAGAACAGCGTACAAGGATTACGCACCGCCGGCACCGCGGAGACACCTGATGAGGTTGTGGTTGAGCACTCCAGAAGATGAGGGTGGCTGGAAACTGCCATACCATGACAGCAAAGAGAAGAAGAGGGGTGGTATCCAGGTGGACGATACGCCACCAGTGGCGCCTGAAGATGCAGAGTAAGATGTAAATAAGTTCGATGATGCAAATATCCTCTGGATTCGTAGCTAGCCTGTAATTTGTGAGCAAACAAAAATCAAGAGTCCCTAGATCCCGGTTGCAAGTGCCAGATTCTGCGTTTCAAAGTGGTATCATTCTTCTTTCGAGGTGCGGCTTCTGCACCAATCCTGAACTGCCAAACGCCATGCATGCTATACCATCTGTACAATCATCGCCGATCCAATAGCCATCTTGTCGCGCTTCATTCTGGCATTCTGTGTGGGCCACTCGCCCATATTCTGGTTACCCCAGATTCCGCTTGCGCTGATTTTGATCGTGTTGCAATCTCTGTCCCAACACTCTTGCGTCATTGCGTCTCTTGCATCCTGATATCCTTCCTCAGCCCTAGAAGCCTCGTCCACGTCCCCTGCCACCGCCGCCCCTTCCGCGACCGCCTCCACGTCCTCGGCCGCCTCCGCGGCCACCGCCCCTTCCACCGCGGTCACCACCAGCAACCTCTTTCCTTGCTTTGTTCTTGGGCTTCGGCGCATCATCAATGAGAAGTGTGTCGAGCGGTAATGAGTCGGGAAGTATGATGTAGCGAATCGTTGAGCCACGAACAGTCATTGTGTCAAGGGCTACGGTATCGCGAGACTTGGGCGTGTACTTGACCGCTCGGAGCGCGACGTTCATGAGCGGTGAGACGGAGGTGATGGTTCCATTTACAATCGTGCCTATGCATGTGTTACGACTATGTCTTTCTGGTAGGAGTATGAAGTGTTTGGGCAGGAGATTGCCTGGCTGCGCAACTCGGTGTACAACGCGCCCGGAAGCAGAACATCCGCTGTTTATAGGCGAGTCGACGAAGATAAACCGTGAGATTGAGAACGTCTACTTACCATTCTTGAGCTCAACCGTGACCGTCTCATTCTGGCACTTCATAAGAAACCTGCGCGAAACCGTTAGCCGCAATTGTAGCATGCTGTCCGAGGCCATCATACCTGACGAGCTTCATGTTTGCTGATTTTGAATTTACGCGACAAAAGAGGTAAGATTGTGAGTCGTTCAATAGTGAAATTAAAGGTAACCCGTCGCGTTGCTGCTGGTTACCAAGGTATACTCGCGGGGAAGCTTCGACTCGGAAATTGCGATGGAGCTTCCCAGGTTACACGCAACATAGTTGATCCGGCCGCAGTCACGTGTAGTCACCGTCTCTCATGCATGACCTTCACTCTCTTGGGAGCCAATGTTGTACTAGCATTTTGGAGATTACTCTATTGATTTCCCGATGCTTTTTTTGCCTAAACTCATAACTTGCAGTATTTACAATGCACAATCAGGGTATCGTACATGTGTAGGGTATGTGTTGTAACACCCATTCTATCCGCCAAACGAAAACGTGCCCGATTTCTTCAAAGATTTATGTCCCTTGTAGTTGGATTTGGTATGTGTACGGCTGTTTCCCGGTGGCTCTAGCCATACTTGTTCCTGGACAGGCGTGAGGTCCGCCATCATAGCTTGCTGCATCTCGTCCGCCGACGATTGAGCTGTGGATTCCGCGGGAATATACTCGATTGGCTTGTGTGTGACATCGAATTCATACACCTCCTTCAAGTATTTGGCGATGCCTGCGTTCTCCTCCTCGCTGCCGTTGCCGTAATGGCGCTTCAGTTCCTTTGCGACGAGTGTATCAATAATGTGACCTTCGTCGAGAGATTGTCTGACCTCTTCGTCGGCAGAATCGTGCTTTGGTAGATTAACCGTAGCTCTCCAATGAATGCCCATAGCAGCAAGTCTGTCCTTCCTCGACCATGTCGTAGCGCGCAGTGGAGTTTTCTGAACAAACCGTTTAACACGCTCTTCCAGATCGTCCCAGTCAACGTTCCAAACAAACCAAGGCTGTAACATCTCGTCGATAGCACGTGGAAAGTCTCGGAAGTGCTCTGTAGAGTAGAATAGATTTTTGATTTTGCCGGTCAGGAACTCCACATCCATACCTGTAATAGTAGGGTTTACGCCAAGTCTGCGCAAAGACTCACACCAATCAATGTGAATAAGCTTCCGGAACTCGGTTTCAGAATAAATCTGCAGGCGATTGATGATCCGGCTGAGAACTACGCGGAGTTCTTCTTGGGTCACTTCTCCAGATATATCTATTGCCGAGGCATCGAAGAGTGAAGGGTGAGTCTGGGTAAGGAGACGCGCGCGACTCTTCTTGAAATGTAGAGCATCCAATTTCTTTTCACCAATGGCCACCATTGCATTTTCAAAAGGCTCCTTCAGTGCAGCTGTATAACTCATCTTTCGAAGATGCTCCCGTAGACGGTGCTCAATCTGCTCGATCTTCTGTATGTCCTCTCTCGACATGTCCCCAGGTTGCCTTTTCAGATCGAACGGTGGTGCTAGATTTGCAGCTCGCAGAGATTCCATAATGTCGCTAGGCAAGAAATCTCTACTGTTAGGACTGACACCCAAGTTGTATAAGAAGAGCCGGTAATTTTGTGACAGGAAACGCGAGTCGGCTGCGACCAACGTCGTGGCTCGGTCTACAATTTGCTGCCTCATAGATGGCGTCAACAGCCCGTAAAAGTCGCTGAGTACTTGTTGGCTCTCCTGCCCGGACTTGATTTTACTAGGGAGTCTCTTTTCCTTCCTACACTCTGCAACAAGTAGCTCGACACTTATGCCAAGACTTGACGCGGGGTATGGTAAATTGCTTTCGATGGTTCGATATGTGTCTTTGGTTGGGTTCTCATAATAGGTAGGGTCTGATTTTATCAGGTTCTTGATCTCGTTCATATATTCTCGTCGCTCCTTGTCGCCTGGAAACAGAGGATATTTCCAGAACGATGAGACACCTTCACCAGCGGTAGACGCCTGTGCTCTCTCTGAAGAGTAGACAAGCTGACCCTTGGGATTCCGGTATCTTCTGTCAATGTAAAGGATGGCTGCTCCTTTTGAAGCTTTGTATTCCATACTATCGACTTTTGCAACGAGAATGACGTGATCTCCAACAGGGAATTGATGAGTGACTTCGCATTCCATTGCAGCCATCACAGAGTCACTCAAGATCTGTGGTGCGCAAGAGCGTGTTGTGGCAGGGTGCTTTTTGTCTTTGGGCTGAAAGAGCTTCAACATCTTAGCTCGCCTATTGTAAGCCTCAGCATGATTTCCGTGGCAAAAGAGATCCACCATATTGGCGCCTCCTCTTTCAGCTGCCGGAAAGTGGACACGGAAAAGGCCATTTGCAGCTCGGATTGCCTCAAGAGTTTGTGATGGCTCTTTGATGTTGAAGGAAATAGTGGGTGGGTCCAGGGTAACGGTGCTGAGTGAAGAGACAGCGACGCCCATGGGTACATGCTTTCCAGTCTCGGGGTCGATGTGTACGACGGTAATGACCGCAACAGAGCTAGGCACGTTGCGCATTAATTGACGCACAGAGTTCTTCAATTTCGCTTGCTCAAGCTCCGAATCGGAGAGTTCGGGTACGATATCGTGCTCTTCGGCGCTTGGTTGACTGCTTGCTATTTCCTCCCGTATACTGTCTGCTGGCTGAAGAAGTGGTATCTCCGCTGCATTTGTCATCCCTCGGACATCGTCACTAGAATTGATGGTAGGCTCATCCTGAACTTGCGATTCAGGTTGGGCTTGCTGCCTGAGAAGCCGAGTTGTGTGGTAGTGCTGCGGGAGGCCAATGCGGTTGCGGTAGTGTGTACCATTCAAGGCACATAGTTGTGTGTTTCCTGGGCTCGGTGTTAGCAATGGCTCGTTTCAAAGGACGTAGGCACATCTCACGAGTATGTAACTCCCATCTATAGAAGGCCGCAAAGAAGCGGGACGCCGAGCGCTGCGCAAGCGCCATTGCTGCAATGAAGCCTAGCTCTTGCTTGTCGCATGCGCAGGAAATTTGCAACGCTTTCGTGCAATTGGGACTGTTGAATTATGAGAATAGAGAAAGAGAGGGGTGTGATGCGAATGACGATGGTTTGCGCATTGAAGATTGAATCGACTGGGATGTCGGAATTATTAGCGCCGCCCAAACCTCCGTGTCTTCTCCGCAACTTTCTATCTCGACCCGCCATTACCATTGCAGGACCCTACCAACCACCATGGCGTCTCCGGTCCCCTCAATGAGCGCATTACGTGCGCTACGTCAATCAATTCAGCCTCAAATACAACAGAAAAATCAAGTGCGACACGCGACACTGCTCCGCCGACCGAAGCGACCCTATACCTTCACACAACTCATAACCCTCTCGGACGGAAGCGCCTTCACTGTACGAACAACGAACCCCCAGCCCGTGTACAAGAGTGCAAAAGATATCCGCAACTCGCCGCTATGGAATCCCAGTTCGCAGAAGCTATTAAATGTGGAAGAGGATGAGGCCGGAAAATTGGCTGCTTTCAGAGCCAAATTCGGGCGAGGATGGGATGCCGAGACCGACGCCGACAAGGTAGGGGTTTGCTTTGTAAAAAAAGGGCGCAATAGAGCGGAACTAAGGGCAATTGTTAATTTATCGTATAGGGCAAGCAAACGGAAGATCATCTTTTGGATCTCATCAGCCGCCAGGGCAAGAAGACAGCAGCGCCACCGACAGATGCTACCAAGGCCCCGCCTGCGAAAGCGCCGGCGTCAACCCCAGCAAAACCAGCGGGAAAGAAATGAAGCAATGGTGCGTGTGAGAGACATGAATTAGCATTAAGGATATGCCAAGGCAACTTTAGTACAGTAAGCCACAATAAAGATGGTGAATTCTATTGCATTTCCTTGTCACAACAACTCGAGACAATTCACGAAATTAGCCAACTTCCCCAACTTTTCCCAAGTTGTGCATTTACCATGATATCAAATAAATTTCATCACAACCCAAATGATCCCCCTCCCCTCCTCCCAAGCCTTGGAATTTCTCTTGAGCAAACCTCCCCGAATCATGACTACTTACCAACTCCCAAAACTAGCCAGCCGCGTATATTGTGAAAAAGGAGGGGACTACAGAATAAAGACACCCGGCCCGCACCCTGCAACGACAAAGAGAAAAAAAACCGGGGCCGTATGTGGCGCAGTAAAGTATCCTTCTCTCTTCCCATTGCGAAGGGGCCGAGGGGAGTGTGCAAGACGAACGAACCAAATCAGGGGAGGAGAGGGGGGGGAGGCAATTTGGAATTCCAGATTGGGCGAAATGAGGCGCGGTTTTTTTTGCAATGTAAATATGTGATGAATGATGTGATGTGATATGGAATCTTTTGCGCCGCAAAACTAGGGTGTTTGGGGGATTTAAATGAGTCGGGAGGGAGGGGGGGGTTGTTGGATGCATGGGGAAGAAAGGCTAGACTAGGTAGAGTAGCTAACGGTAGCCACCAACACGACACACCCTATCTCTCACTTTTCTGAGGAAGTAGTGGGTTGATGGGTTGCACAGCATGGGAGTAGAGGGGGGGGGGCCAAGGAAAGCGGCAGAGAACAAAGCGAAAGTGTTGCGCGTATGTGTGTTTTTTTTGTGGGCGGCCCGCCCCAAACAAATCTGAGCACATTTTTTTCCCTTTCTCAAAACCGGAGACGCGTTTGCGGCGTTCGTCAGTCAATGCATGTTTTAGTCAGGCGCGGGGCTTGGCGGCCGATTGGGCGTACAAAGTGCGAAGTTGCGGTTTCGTTCACATGCGAAGTAGTCTAAAAAGAGTAAACTTGAATTGTCATCTTTTTATCTGCGTTACGTGAGATGGTTGATGTTTTGGTGGCGCTCCAAAGTTTTCATGCATTTTTCTCTCTTTCTTTCTTTCTTATATAAGTAAAGGCGTGAAAAAAATACATAACGCTTGTCAGACAGTTTTATCTTAGCCGTCGGTTAATGCCAAGGTGAAACAAGTAGCGGAAGAATGGATAATTGGAGCTCTGCAGCGTTTGTTGCAGCAGTGTTTGAGGCTCAACTGTTCCTGGCAGTGAGGGTACGCGTATAAGCGGAAGGAATTCCGCTTTCGGTTGACATGTTCCGTGCTAACATGTGCAGCTGCAGTTTGCTCGGACAAAGTCCTGTCATGGAAAGGCGGGGATCTCTGCAGTCGCGTTTGCAAAATCAGTCCATGTTACCGGGATATGGTTGCGGTGGTAGTTATTGGAATTTTATAACGTTGTAGTGCATAAAAGGCAGGGGTGTGCCGCAACGGCATCGGCACTGGTGCCGAATGATACCTAAGGACTGCAAGAACGGTACGCCATAGCTCCATGAACAGCGCCTGATTAATAGCAAACATATAGTATAGCACCAAAATGTGCGTGTGGGGTATAGCGGGGTGTATAGCAGGCACCAGAATGCGCCCAGGTTCACTGTCGCCTGACCTGATCCGGCGAGCACGTGTCGACGGGCGGGAGCAAGCGCTGGTAGGATTGCTCGCCTACGATGGTCGACTCTCTGTGCTCCAAGAAGGTGCGGATGCGCTCGTCGCGGTTGCCGCTGGCGCTCAGGGTTGCGTTCCTGCTGCGCCGGTACTCCATGCTCGCCTCTCGGTGGATCTGATCGCGGCGCTCAATGACCGAGTTGTTGAAAGAATTGAAGCGGGTGCCTTGAACGACACCTCCAATGCTTACAAATGCGAAGAGGAGGGCCATGAAGGTGAAGTTTGACATTTGGATGGTGCGGGCATCAGAGTCTTTGGCGCCGCTGTTCTCGTGGTGCCAGCGCTCCCAATCCTCCCAGGTTGCATTGGTGCGGGGGTCGGTAGTCCAACGACGTGCGTCATAGTCCCAGTCGCTGTGTCGTGGGGCAGTGGGCGTGTGGTGGTGGCCTGCCCAGCCATGGCCCCAGGCATCATACGCCTTGCGTTTCTCAACGTCCGAAAGGATATCGTGTGCAGTGACGAGCATGCGATAGCGCTCCAGACGCACGTGGAGAGGCAGCTGGGCTATGGCAGGGGAAACATGGCTGCGGTCCGGGTGGTAGAGCTTGACGAGGGCGTAGAAGCGATGTTTGGTATATGCATCGCCCTTGCGGCACTGGAGGATCTGGTAAGGCGTGGGTGTTTTATGGGGCCTCTGGGGTTCGGGCCACGTCAGCAGGTCGGCATCGAGGTGTTGGGCATATGTGCGCCGTTGTTGGTACGAGGGGTAGTGGTGGTGATGGTGATAGTGGTGGTGGTGTTGTTGTTGGTGTCGTGGTTGCGGGTGGGCAAATGTATGACGGCATGACTTGTGCGGGCTGGTGCTGGTGTTGCTGCTGCTGCCATTGCCCAGGTACAGCGGGCTGAGGCTAGCACACGACGATACAAAGGGCGGGCATTTCCTGGACAGCATGGTCGGGCGACAGCTGCCATGGGCGGGCGTACATTTCACAGGCCGTCAGTTGGTCGGTCAGTCAAGCAGTAGTCAGTCTGTCATCACTCAGGCAATCGGTCGGTCGGTAGTAGTGTGGGGATGGTGGCGCTGATCCATGTCATGCGCCGCGCCGCCGTGTACGCTAAGCCTGTTTGGGCCAGGGTGCGGCGTCTGGCCGTCTGGCCGTCTCGTCGTCCCTGTGTCCCCCTTTGCTGGTGTCGTACAGTCAGTAGTCAGTACATCGTGATCGGACGAGCAGCAAGTCAAGGGAAGCACAAGGGCGGCCGCGGGCGCCGTCGTCGCAGAGCACCCAGCCACCATGCACGCGCGGTCAGTTCCGCTCCCCTCCAGTTGCTCCGAGCGGTGCGGCGTGGAGCCTCGTGGAGCGCGAGTCAGGCCCCGTTTGACGTGAACTCCTTCGTGCTCGCTTGCGCATGCCATTCAGACGCCCCCCCCTGCCACCGACACCGACAGCTGGGTCGCCGTGCATGAACGGCACCCTGCAACACATCCACCCGCCGACCCTTCTTGTCCTCGTCAACGTCCGCGACCTGCCCGGCCCGCTGGGGTCCAGAGGGCGCTGTCCTGCCATCAAACATAACCCGTTTGCTAACCTCCCAGTCTCGACCGCCGCCTTTGTTCTCGTCTCGTGCCCCCGTCTTAGCCTTTCACTTACTTCTCTACGGTCCTTTCCGCCTGACACTTGCACTACTTGCATTTATATCCTGCTAAATTCCCCCCCATTCCCTGCCCTGGCCACCCACGCTCACCCACTCCCATCCTATCATCCTCCAGCTTTGTCAACACGTACCTGAAGAGCAATGGCAGCCCTCCGTGACACGCCCCGACAGCCAAGGGAAGGCTACCTCAACTTGACCCGCCGCATGGAGAATGAAGAGCAGGACCAGTTTGATGTCGACCTGACCATCCTCGACTTTCTCGTCTTCAAAGCAACCGGCCTCATCTTCGAGTGGAAGTCAAGCAGTGACCCCTACCATTCAGACCTTCCCAATGCCCTAGTCAACATGACTGCCGGTATGCCCAACTTGTCTTTGCCGTGCTGACCCCAAATCATTGACGGCAAGTAGATTGGAGGGTCTTCCTTGGCCACCGCCACCAAGGCCGCTGTCTGGACTCCAAGGCCTCATTTCGGTCGCGCCTGCTGCAGTTTGCTCTACTCTTCACCCACCGCCTGCACCACACCGAAACATGGACCACCGAAGCCTCCCTCAACAGCCTGCGCGAGCAAAACAAGAGCCGCGGCGAGTACTGGCGCCAACGAACCCAACATGCACCCGCACTCGAGCAACCCTTTGACCAACACAAGGATTTTCCTCTTTCAGATGGCGCTCTCTACGAAAACCGCTCCGAACTCGCGTCTGCCCTGGGAATGCCCCTGGACCAGCGAAGATGGGTCACCGACGTCGCCAGCACCCCCTCTCTGCACTGTCTCCTCCCCGTCTTCATCGAGCTGACCGCCGCCCGCGTCACTCTCGACGACACCTGGCTCCCTACCTCCAAGTGGTATGACCTAGCCGCGCAATTCATGCTACAAGCCGTCATCGGTGAGTACCTCCGCAATGGCTCCTACGGCCCTGAAACCTTCAACACAATCTTCTCCTATGGCTGTCCCGGCGTCGAGCGCTGGGCCGACGAACCCACCGATGTCTCCGCCATGCGCATCTTGTTCTGCGACCCGGATAACCAGCGCCAAGAAAATCGCGAGTGGACGCGCATCAAGCGCCGCTATATCGATGAGTTGCTGCCTAGAGATCGAGCCCAGTCGAGTCTTCAGGCCCTACAGGCGGCACAGCAGCGGTATCCCTATGCGGCGTTTGAACAGGCGTTGCTGGCGTTTTTGCAGTCGCTGCATGAGGGCTTGGTTAAGCCTGATCTTGCGCAGGTGGAAGAGGGGAGAATCAATATTGATGGGAGTGAGTTGTCAGAAGCTGAGTCGAGGGCTATGATTCGACGCATGGGGTTATGAGATACCCCTTGTCTGTTGCTTCTGCTTCTTCTTCTTCTCCTTCTTCTTTTCTCCCGTCTTGACTACCCCCTTTCTGCCTTTTTTCTTTTTACCCGTGGTTTCGGATGAGGCCTGTCCCCTTTCCAATTTCCACATCTAGGCTGCTTTTGTTCGCCTTGGCTTTCTTTCTTTTTTCGGGTAGTTATCCTCTTTCTTCTCCCTTTACTTAAGCGAGGACTTTGTCTTTTTTTTTCCGAGGAAGTGTGACTTAGCGAGAATGGGTCTTTGTCCCATTTCCACATGTCCCATCCAACTACCCTGGAACCCATGCACTGTATCATATTGCTTGTCGACTGAATTTTGTTCTGTTTTTTTTTGGTTGTCTATATCCCCTTCTTCTTCTTCTTTTCGGTTTTCTCTCTTGCTTTCTCGGTTGAGTTCAGACACAGAGCTAGTGTGTAGTCTCTTGTTTTTCTACTTTTTTTTAACGCTTCTGTCTTTGCGAGAAGCGACGACGGCCAGGTGTGATGTTTTTTTGCTCACGAGATGAGGGGGCTAGGGCGGTGACTAGGAAGTGGACCAAAAAAAATACCCATTGCGATATCTCTCAAGGCAAAATAGCTACATGAACATGAAAAAAAATTCAACAATGAAAAACATGACTCCCCAAGATTTTTTCTTCCTTTGTATCATTGTTTTGTTGTGATTTCTTTACATTTTTTTATCGTATGTATCTGGGAGAAAAGATGTGTGTACCATGAAGAGAGTGAGTTATGACTTTGCCCTCGTACCAAAAAAAACAAACAACAAGAACAGACGCCGACGACCACAACACCCCCCTCATATACACAACCCCACATGTCCAGAGAAGGGAGAGAGAGATATCCACACATGAAAGTGCCCTAAAAGGCAACCATAAAATACACAGTACCATATCCACTCAAGCTGAACACACAGAAAACAAAAGAAGAAGAGACGAGTTAGTCACGAAGCAAGTCCTACAAAGCAGAATAAACCGCCGTACAACCCCTTCCACACTCGACCTTTTGCTCAAACTCAACTGTTCTGCCCTTGAGCTTAACCTTGTTCCTCGGTGTAATTTGGAACCGATGCATCTCCTTTTCTCTCAGCTGCTTTGCAAAATTACTACTACCAGCAGCAGCAGACGCCGCTCTCTCCTGCTCCGCCGCCTGGTCCAGCGGCTGAATATACGCCGGTGTAGCAAGATTACTGCGCTTGCCCGATCCAATCTGGTAGTATTCGTTGTTGCCCCAGAACAAAATGTCGCGGCCCCAGTTGGTGTCGTTTTCGGTGAGTTTGGACTTGCGGCCGGATACGGCGACGCTGGCGACGTTGTCTAGGACGGCTGCTGCGTGCGAGGCGCCGACAGAAATAGTTGAGAGGCGGATGGGGATGGGCTTGTTGTTTGCTTCGTCCCATTCAAAGAGGCCGGAGAAGGCGGGTACCTTTACTGGTTCGGCCTGCGTGTGCACCCACCGGCCCACGCCAAGTTGACCGGTCAGTCCAAAGCCAAACGCCCACGTGTCTGCTGTCGTCCGGTTGCCCTTTGTTGCTTCAATGGCAAGGAAAGATGTGTTACCACCAGCAAACACATTGGTTACCTTGCCTTGCTGTCCAGAGTAGAACTTTTGGGTTGGGAGCAGAGACGGCGCGTCAATGTTTTGTGCCTCTGCATTGAAGGGGAAACCAAGTTGGCCAGCTGTGTTGTCACCAAAAGTGAAAGCGCGTCCCTCCGAGTCGCACACCAGACTATGGTAGTCGCCAGTCGCAATCTTCTTGATGGGAAAACCTTTGAGTGTGGCAATTTCGTGGGGAATGTCAAACGCACCAGCCGGCCGGTTCTCCCATGTCAGTCCAGGTATGCCGAGTTGGCCTTTGCTAGGAAAGTTCTGGGAGCCCGAAGCAAAGGAGAAGACGCGACCGGATGAGGTGAGCATGAGAGCGTGCTCGAGGCCGGAACAGATGTCTGTCACGCGCTCGCTCCATCCCAGATTTTCAGGCGTGCGTTCACGGTACGAAATGTTGTTGGAGCCGCCCCAGAAGGGAATCCAGGATTTGGATTTGGGCTTGGGTCCTTCCTTTTGCTCTACCTGGGATACGGGAATCGAATATACAGAGCCGTTGTTCGAGAGGCCAATGATGCGATCACGGGAAATGGCTAGCGACTTCAAATTCAGCCCTGTCAAAGTTTTCACAGGTTCCTTGACATCATCCGCGAATGCTGTACCCCATTGCAAAAGATCACCCTTCTCGTCTATAGCAGCCCCAAAGTTTTTGTCTAGCTTGATATCCCTCAGCAGCTTGCCGTCGAAGAAGCTTAGCCGCCGTGGAGTCTTGATGTACTTTTCGTCGGAATCGGGTGCGACGACTTTGCCTGTGTTTGAGCCCCATGCGTACACTCCGGGGTTTTCCCAGCTCTTGATGACCTGGAGGTGCTGGGAACTGATGATGTTGCGATTGTCGTCGCTGGAAGTGGCCTGCCGCCGTGGGGCCTCAAACTGTAGCTCTGGGCCCTCTATCGCCTCTGGTTCCTCGGCATGGGCGTCTCTTAAGATTGACTCGCCATTGCACCACTGCCATGCAGTGGCAGTGGCCCAGAGAGCACCGACAGTGGCAATGGAGCGTACAAAATGCTGCTGCCGCCGCTGTGCGTATGGGTGTGCAGCGGCCCGAACCTGAGATCGCGGGGCTCTGGTCGCTATGTTCCTACATAGTCGCGGGGTGTGGCGTGAGGGTAGTGTCACGCGAGAGACACATTTGGTGCTGAGCATGGTGCAGCGTGATGGAGGGCGTATAGGGCTTGTGTAGTACAAAGAAAAGAAACGACCCAAGGGTGTCAAGTAGGATCAGGAGAGCAACATTTGCAGATTGTGCGTAGGTCCGATTATGGCCACCGGACTGGTCATTGGACACGCTCGATGGCTTCTTCACATTGCAGCGGGCGGGATCGATGACGCTTGGAGAGTTGGCGTCGGATCTCGTCTCCACCTGCTCGAGCCATACCAGATACCGTTAGCACCAACCAAATCCCCCCACGACACGTAGACCGAGCTCCGACGTGCAAGCTGGCGTGTCCGCTTCTGCAAGGCAACGTCAAGGAAACCACCCCAATTGGAGAAAAAATAATAATGTACGAAGGAGACTCGTGGTACAATGCCTTCGTCCCGCGTGTGGCAAAGCCCCAGGAAAAGGGCAATCGTCGTCGGCGGGAGAGCCTGCTCAAGCAGGAAAGCGTAAGCCCACCATCCGCTGCATGGGTATGTTTGAGCACTTCTGATGATTGTTTGTATAGGAGGCTCAGGCTGACTTCGAGCGCGCAGAAGCCATTGTAGAGAGTGCAGAAGAAGAACGACCTGGCAAACTCAGCGGCCCTCCCCCGGCGACCGTAGCCCGACGCGCAAAATCATACAGCGACTTCTATACCGTAGTGCGGGCACACTTGAAGAAGGAAAAGGCATTGGAGAAGAAGAAGCCAAAAGAGGATATCAATACAGAACTGGAGTTGGCTGAGTGGTATGGCGGAGTCAATGACGAGCTGCTGGAAGCCAGCCATGAAGAGTACAGGTATGCATTGTCGGACTGGGACGACATGAGAGTTACTAACTGATGGCCCTAGACGCTATCAAGACCAGCTTCACATGACGCGAAGCCACCTCCAGACCGTCATCGCTGATACCACCTCCACCCTCGATATCCTCTCCTCCCTCTCGGAATCCTTCAAAATTGTCGAGGCGCAGACCAATGCGTTCCGCACAAAATGTGAAGGCCTCATCGATGACCAGAAGCGCATCACCAAGCTTGCCGATGATATGGAGGAGAACCTCCGATACTACCTATATCTCGAGCCTACGACTAAGCGACTCAATGCGCCTGGCGCAGGCAAGATTGTACGGGGCAACGAGTTTGTGGAAATGCTGGCCAATTTGGACAGTTGTCTGGAATACATGCAAGCACACCCCAAGCACCGCGAGGCTGAGACATATCGCTCAAGGTACCGCTTGCTGCTCACTCGCGCCCTAACTCTTATTCGTGTTCATTTCACCGAAGCCCTGCGGGAAATTGCAGCAGACGTAGCGAAACGGATAGCTGACCGGCAGCTTAACGACACAACAATGTCTGCACTGTTGTATGCCAAATTCCGTGTTGGTGCGCCAGAACTGAAGAGCATTGGCATGGAAATACAAAAACGTGCAGTGTTGCCCCCTGGTGCTGCTCCGGGTGCAGAAGCGGAATATCAGAGTCTGATGAACGAGTTGTACCAGAGCTATTCAGCCACCCGCGGCCGCCTCATTCTCCCCATTATCACAAAAAAGATCGGAGAGATTGCACAAGCCCCGAGCACATCGACTGACTTGGTCGCATTTGCTCGTAGTAGCATAAGCTACATCCGTGGCATATGTTTCGATGAATGCGGCCTATGGCGCGAGTGGTTCGAAGGCGATGGCGGGTTGTACGACTTTCTTGAAGCCGTATGCGAGCCCTTGTACGATCATCTTAGACCGCGGACTATTCACGAAACCCAAATACTCAAGCTATGTGAACTCTGCACTCTAATACAGACACGGTATATGGAGGAAGAGGAAGAAGAGGAAGAGGCCTCTCCGGTGGAAGCCAACAAAATCGACTTCTCAGTCATAGTGCATCCCGCACTACAAGACGCGCAAAACCGCCTCGTATTTTTATCCCTAGCCATCCTGCGAGATGATATTGAAAGATACAAGCCAAAGCCAGAGGATCTCGACTACCCCGCGAAAAACAAAAAACAAGCAACCTCCGGAACAAAGTCAAATCAACCAGCCCTATCTGGAAAGAAGCAACCAAAGTCCGAGGGTCCCCCTACACCATTACTGCCAAATGCACCCACGATTGTTGACGAAGATGACTCTGATGCTCGATGGAATTTCAACACTGAAGCTGCGTTCAAGGACTGGTACCCAACCTTGCGAAAGGCTATTTGGTTGCTCAGTAAAATTTACAGGCTTGTGCATGTATGTATTAAGTAATCCGCCATTGATGTTTGTACTAACGTCCCCTAAAGTCCTCCGTCTTTGACGACCTAGCTCACCGCATTGTTCACAGCACCACCGTCTCGCTCACACAGGCCGGTTCACTCCTTGCTAAGTCAACATCACCTACAGATGCCGCCTTGTTCCTCATTTCGCATTTGCTGCTCTTGAAACAACAAATTGTAGCTTTCGACATTGAGTTCGTTACACCAGAGACTGAGGTTCAATATAACTTCTCCAGCGTAACGAACACCTTCTGGGAACTCCGCGCACGAGGTGGTCTTTTCAACCCGCGCAACCTGGTCGGCTTGTTGATTCCTAAAGTCGTGGAAAACATGCTGGACGCGAAAGCAGAAGTAGACGCCCGTCTACGTCAAGCAATCAATGATTTTACTGGCCAATTCGTGAACAGGATGACAGCGCCGATCGACACAAAGAACAACAAAAAGGTGCCAATCAACGAAGCTCCCGCGCGCATCAGCAAGATTCGGCAGAACATTGAGCACGAAACACCATTTCTACGCTCAAAGCTGGAAGAATACATCACAGATGCGAGGACCCGTGAAATGCTTGTCGCAGCCGTCATGGAGTCGGTAACCCAGACTTACGAGGACTGGTACGATACTTCGTATGCACCCTCTCTCAACAACCAGAACGGATCCGGTCGGAGCGCCAAAGGCAAGGGTAGGGAAGATGGTGTCTGGGACCCCGACATGTTCAGTGAGTGGTGCAGTAGCGTCTTTAAAGTAGGCACACTGGGGTTGGGCATTGCAGACAACGACCAAGAAGAATATGGTGATGGAGATGACGGTAGCGACGCTGATAGTATGGGTGCTATTAGTGGGCGTACAGGCACAGAGAGAACGGGTACTACGGGCTTGAGGATCAAGATGTGAGGAATTTGATATTACTGGCAAAAAAACAGACAGGTGTAAGAGGCCCTAGCAGTCCGCATAATGTGTACAGGAATATTCATTATACGGTAGAACGAATCCAAGTGACGGCTACTTCCTCGGCGCCACCCGCCGTACGAGACGTACAAATAGTTCATTATTTGAGATGTTACGTCTATTCATGTGTGGGTATTTGAGTACTACTTTTGTGGAACTTAAGGTAAGTAACTGTTATCAATCCAGGTCCAGGATAGGAGCCAACTTTACAATAACCGCGATGGCACCTCGCGAACTTGATAAATATTATATCACCATATGCCAAAAGATGACGGTGTACGATAGTACTGCAAAATCACAGCGAGTCCTTCTAGCATTCAGCGGTGTTGGCCAACTGACGCTAGTCGGGAACTAATGTAGCCGGTCGATCGTGTTCGTGCATCAAACTGCATCGCGAAACACAACTCCAAACATCGACGTTTGATGATTTCAGAACATCGAAAGCACATCACTTGAAACACCATCGAGTCAGCAGACAATCATAGCAATTCCCCGAACTGAGGGGAGTTTTTTGAGTTCTCGAGCAGACTGGTGCTTTTACTGCAAGCAACCGTCTACCTATGCGACTTTCATTTGGAAAGTGGCGTCTGAGAATTAACGTAACCACTTGTGCTTTGCATACAAACCAAGCTTCTCTTGTCAGCCAGTAACCGGTGATACTCGGCAAAAGCTTGTTCTACGAGACAAGTTCCCAGAACAGTCTAGTTGTCCGACATCGATTTGGACTGTCTCGTCATGCGCTGGACAGTATCATAGGCCACTACTAGGGTTCATGTCCCCGGCAAATACGTTCCATACCTACAGCAGAAATGTTCTGCCTGACGCTTGAAACTATGTTTGCAGAGAAGCTTCACTGTTGCCATGAGGAATCTCTTGGCCGACACCATATTTGTAAGGACCATGGTCAGGAAGGGTAAGACAGTCGAATGAGACCGCTTCAAACAAACTCAAGTGGGGGGCCTTTGACTACGGGGCAGCTCAGTATGCCTGGCAGGTATGCAACTCTGCGCCACAGGTCATTCCGGCATCCGCACATGTAGTAAGACTCGAAACTCTATGGACGGCAAGGAGGTATGCCGAACCAAGTCGTGAAGGCTTGGGACGAAACCGCAATTATTCATATTAAAAGTGAGCGCCACTGTTGAACATTGGAGCATCTCACTACCACAGCAAGTCTGTTCAGCCATCTTTGTTTTCTTCTTTCTTCGTTTTCTTAATTCTTTTCTCTTCTCTTAATTAATATTTCTTCATAACGCCCAGGTGGCTTTTATTATTTTCAAAATGACGTCCGGTACTGTCACTTCTCTTTTCCTTGTCTTCTTGAGCTGTACACAGGTGTTCGCTCAGTCGCAAAGTGTCCAGTACAACCAAGTACTTAATGTCAATGGCGATGTAAGTATACAGTCATTGATTCTTGTGGATATCATCAAACTAACAAGTCTAGATGAAACTCAACTCCTTTGTCTTCCCTGACCGCTCCAAGGTCGAGACCTTCTCCCAAAAACAGCAACAGATTATTGTTAATCAACAAAACCCCTCAATCCCCGCCAACCAGGTTGTTGGCACCACCGGACAGCCTTTTGTTGCCGTCTCCCCCCAGTCAATGACCATCAGCACAAATGGTGCAACTGACCTGGTCGGTGGCCAGATCGAGATGGCCATGACAATGCAGAACCTCCAGGGTGTAGCAGTCCAGCCAGACAACACCTACGTGGCCAAGCTCTCACCTGATCGACAGACTTGGATGATCCAAGAGACGATGAGGATGGTCAACACCACCGACATGACTGTCCGCATGGTCAAGCGTAGCCAGATGGATGGCGAGTACATGGTTGTCGGTCGCCAGACTGTCGAGACCAACACCGTTGTCGTTCCCTTTGGCAGTGATGGTAGCACCTCTGTCGGTATCCAGGGCACTGGTCTCCAAGAGAACGAGTTCCAGGATGGCTTCAGGATGTCCATCCGTGCTACCCAGCCCATGACTATGAATGTCGACGTCAAGGATGGCATTGACAGTAGCATGTTGGCTGCTCTTCAGGGCCAGGACTCCGTCAACGACTACCGCTACTCGGTCACCACCAACCTTGGTGCTGTCGTCCCTACCCTTAACCAACAAGTTACTGTCGTCCAGATGCCCAGTAAGTCCTCCTGGAATCCCTTATATACCTGTTCACAGACTAACATCTCTTCCTAGTCAACGCTGTCCGTATCCAAAAGATGATGCAATCAATGGGTGTCCCACCTACTGGATCCGTCGCCATCGCCGTCGCTCAGAGGAGCGTTCTCCAAAACCCCGGTGGTGCAACTGGTAGCCTTGGTGGAGCCGCTACCACCCGTCGTGGTCTCTCCCGCACTGAGTTCAGGAAGGAGATTGCCCGCCAGGTCCAAGGCACTACCCCTACCACCAACCAGCCCAACCCCGTCGCTGCTCAGCTTCTTCTCGCACCCACCTTCACTCCCGTCCAGGCTGATGCCGTCCTCGACATGTCCAACATGCGCATTGCCATCCCTGTCCGCCAAGTCGACGGAGAGTATATCCTCACCATGCAAGTCATGGGCGGTGCCGCTGGCGCTGCTGCTGCTGCTCCAGCAGGAGGAGCCACTCCCCCTACCGGCTCCACTGCTGCTCCCGCCGAGGCCCCCGCTGGCTCCAGCCCTGCTCCTTCTACCGAGTCTCCTGCTACCGCGGCTCCCGCCACCGAGTCCTCTGCTGCCACCCCCAAGACCCCCGAAGGCGAGAAGCCCACTCTCCAGGCTCCTACCAACGGTACCGAGTCCGCTGCATCAGAGTCTGCCAAGCCTGAGGCTGCTAAGCCTGAGCGCCGCCAGGACAGCAAGGACAAGTACGGTGACATCAAGGCTCCTCTTGGCTCTGTCATCATGACCATGAAGCAAATCGATACGATGGCCGAGATGGACATGTGGGGTGGCCAGGCCCCCATCACCAAGATGATGAACGAGTATGTCAAGGCACAGACTGGAAAGGATATGGACTCCATAAAGAGCGATGGCGGTGATGCTGCTGCTAAGCTCGTTGTTGCATAGATGGTGTAACAGGTCATAGGTGAGGGGTTGTCAAGAGAGAATCGGGGGGTTTGTAGGTGATAATATGTTTATATCTGAATGGAATGGTGAATAGATGGAAGGGATGATCGGTGGAAAGATGTAATAGGGCTGTGAATAGTGGATATAAGGGGTGATTGTACCTTGCTGGTTTTTTGAGATAGTGGAATTTGGTTATGTGGTAGCTAGTATATATATTATAAAATTCAACGACAAGAGAATGATACAAATTTTGTGGTTTTGCTTTTTTGGCTTTTTTTTCGTAAAAGACTTGGACAAGCTTATACAATTTGCTCACATATTAAGCACGTTGAAGAAAAGGAAGGGCCGTGTTATATTTTTCATTTCGTCGTCTCATGCTGATGCTAACTTTTCATTCTCTCACCATACAATCTCAAGACTGGACATGAGAATGCGATCCCTCAGACTTTTAACCGTTAGGCGATCCACGCTTCTTCTCCTCTATCGACTCCCCACCTTCCCTCTCCTTCCTCCGCTGCGCAACATCCCAATTGTACACGCGCGCGAATGCAACCTCAAGCGTCTGCAAAACCTCATTAGCCACTCCCAACCCCCCATAACAAGCAAACTTCGTAATAAAAAACAACACATACCGTGATCTGCTCGCGCAAGAAATCCAAATCCTCCTCACAAGTGCTCAAGCTGTGTCGTGCCGTGGCCAACTTCGATTGCAGCAGCTCCTCCGCCTCGGGTATGGGATATGCAAGCATAACGTTTGCGCCGAGCCAGAGATACACTTCGTCTGTAGGCGGAACCTCTGCTTTCGCATAGAGCGTATCATTCAATTCGAACGTTGTCTCCAGCGGTTCAGCATCATCCTTTCGCGACTTGAGGAAGCGGACTGTCTCGAGTGTCTTTTGGATATCGGGGATCTTGTCTTTGAGACCAGCAGCTCGTCTTTGTGTATTTTGCTGCATGAATTGGTATTTTCTGGGGGGGTTTGGATGGATTAGATGGTGGGTTGGGGTATATGGGTATGAGTGCTGGCGTACGAGATCATCTCTTTGAAGTTGTTGATGGTGGATTCCACCTCGGAGCGGTCGGTCACATAGTCTTCTACTCGATCGATGAACGGAGCCACAGGGATGCCCCGCGGGTTTGCTGGAAGAGAGGCATTATGTCAGAGGGAGCTTGTGGTAGAGGGACGTATCGGTATACATACTCGCGGGCTCGCTGTTGCCATGTTAGCTCTCTTCGTATTCACTGGTGACATAGCAGCTCTGTATCGTTACTGACCTCCCGGCTTTAGCTACGTCCGCCATTGCGCCTTGGACTTGTAGACTTTAGCAATGCGCGTTGTTTGTTTCGCGCATCGGAAAAACTGCCCCGCCATGTCCGCTCTTGGCACCTAGTATATCTCCACCCCGCTTACCGTTTACTCTCCCCGCTCCACCCCCGACTCTATCTTCTCGCTTACTCAACGGGTCTTGCAAGGATTCTACCTGTACCTGTTTAGTCATGCTAAGCTAATTATACTACTGTGATCTCAACACTTGGCACCCTATATGCTGACCCTTGTAGTAGACATCCTACGCTACTAAACGCTGCGCACCCTAGGGAAGAGCGTCTCCACCCCATAGTAAGCATCAGGATTACATAAAGACTTTTCTCCGGAAATCCCTCAAGAAATCTCGGATCCTTTGATCTGTAGGATCATGACACGATGACAATGCCCTTGCAAGGACGCTATCTCTGAGGCGCTCACTTGCAATCAATGTCAATGCGGCCCCCCACGTATGTGGCTGACTGTTCTAGCATTCGAAGAACTGTAGGGCCATGCCCTATCCTGCATATGCTAACAGCCGATAGCCTAGCGCGAATAATGGGCTTGCCCATGCGCCCTATGGAGATAGTAACCGCGT